TATATCATCATCTCATAGGGGCTATATAATGGAGCCTTTTAACCCTTGGTACAATACGAAGCTCAAGGTTCCAATCCAGTCTTCTTACGAAAAATGTAAAGATCTATACTTTTGTTGGGAGTATTATTTTACTTTTGTTGTAAAAGAAGATAATTAGATTTTTGTTGTTGGGTCACATGAACATGATTATTTTTTTATAGATTCCAATGTTGCTAACAAATAATAGACCTCTCTTAAGTAGGACCATATCCAACAGCGTTTCAATCATCATAAAAAGTTCAATGACAAGTAAGATTTTTTTTTTTTTTTGAAAACAACACAAAAAAGATTTTTAAACAAACAATATGTTATCCATTGAATCCATTCCTTGTTACTCTGTTATCTACGTTGTAAATCTTTGAACGTGATAGTTTACATCACACATGACTGCTTGTAAATAATGATATTGTTTGAGCATCTTCAATAGTTTACATCATTTTTTACACCAAAATGGTGTTGAGTTTTACTCCAATGATTTACACCAATTTTTACACCAAAATAGAATATTTTAAATAGATTTTCTTTTTCATTTCTTTAAAATTTACAAATCAACCCCACTTATTTTTTTAAATTTAAAAAATTATGAAATAAATTAAATTTAACATTTATTATATAAAAAAAATACATTGTAACATATAAAATAACAAAATATATTAAGTTTTTGTTTAATTATTATCAAACATATTAGATTTTGGGTTTAAATATCACAATTTTTATATGTTTTTATTAATTTTAAGGTTGATTAAAATTTGAAAGACTTTTTTATAAATAAAAAAGTTCAACACCAAAATGGTGTTGAAAATAGTGTTGGGTTGGAGAGGATTTTACCCAAAAAAATAGGTTTGGTGTGGGATTTGGTGTACCATTAGAGATACTCTTAGTTCGTATTCTGAATTCCGAATGATAGTATAATTGTTTTTTTTTTAAATATTTGGTTCACGAGAACAAAAATCAAATACCAAACAAAAATTCATGTACATGAACAAAAAACATATACGAAACGAAAATTACATACGAAACAAAAACTCATGTACATGAACATATACTATTAAACAAAAAATCATATACGGTTCGATATGCTCTGGAAGTGCTTTTATATTAACCTGAAACTCCTCTTGTGCCTGTGAAAGAACCTCTAAATCTGAGGAGGATGTGAAAAATGTGATAGCAACAAAGCCCTTGGTCCCAACCATGCCACTGTCATCTCTCCCCACCGACTCCCCACCTACTGAAGATATGAATATGTACAATCTAGTGTGTCAAAATTAACAACAATGTTGACATGCTCGCCTAATCCTACCAAGTCACTGGTCACCGTAGCCTTCAGTGAAACTTTTGAAGCAAGTCGACATGTCTTAAGTTAACATTTCATAATGAACACATGTTGACTAATAGTGGAAACTGGGTCCAACCAGTACCTTGTTCACAAATACGACGACTTGATAATTGAAGTCTAATGTGTCGAGAAGATGTTGCAATTTGCGTTTTTTTTCCTCATACTTGTTCATTTTAGTGTAATACTCAGAGTTATGATCAAAGTCATGTTCAAGGCTAATTGAGATATAATTTTTGGATCTTCGAATTATGATTAAAATCTTGTTCACAGATTTTCTCTGAATCTTGTTCTTATCTATCTTCATTAGAAATAATTGTTTTAGGGTTAATGGTCAGAGTTATGACAAAGTCTTGTTCAATATTGATAGTCTAATTGTTTAAGAGTATGATATAAGATT